ATAATATATATTAATTTTAATTTTATAATATTCTTCTATCTAAGAAATTCGAATTATATATCTTTTTAATATAAAGAATTTTAAGACTTAATAGCTTTTCTATATATTTATTAAATTTTATAATTTTAATATTATTATATAGTTTTAAATAAGCTCTATTTATAAAGTAATAAAATATAAAAAATATATTAAGTCTATCGAAATTCGAACTTAAGATCTTAGTTTTTAATCTCGTTATATCTTATATAAATAATAAATTATATTATATATATATAATACAAAAAGAAAACTATACTCTATTATTAAGCTATAGACTTAATTCGAATATTAGAAATATAGTTATAATAATATATAAAGAGTTTATAATTATATAATAAATAATTTATATTCGCGTTATAGATAATTAAAATAATATTAATATTAACTCTCTTAATAAAAGTATTTTAATTAATTTCGAAATTATATTAATATATATTATTTTTATATATAATAATTTTTTATAATATATATATAATTTTTAATTTTTAACTCTAAAAAATTGAAAATATTCTTTTTTATCTCGAATTAATTTAATTCTAATATCTTTTAGAGTTATAACTATATATTATTTATTTAATATTCTTTTATTATTAAATTTATCTAAATTTATATTATATTCTTTATTATATAAGTTTCTAAATCGATATTATAAATATTAATTTTAAATTAATTAGAAATACTTAATATCTAATATCGAGTAATTAATTAATATTTTAATTTTAATAATTATATAATTAGATATAATATTTTTAAAACTTCTATATTATTAAATTTATCTAAATTTCTATTATATTATAGATTATTTAAGTAATAAAATTATAAATAATCGCGATTTAATATCTTAGAGTATAATTAAGTTATAAAATTTTAATTTATTATATAATACTAAGTAAGTAAATTTAACTTCGATTTTCGAAATTTTAATTTTTATATAAAATATTAATTAAGTAATTTTATTATATTTTTTAGATTTTAAGAGACGTTAATAATTTACTATTAATAAAAATATCTCGCTTAATTTTTATATTACTTATAACTTCTTAAATATTAATAATAAAAATATAAACTTATATATTATTATTAATCGTTTTTAATATAAAATTTAATAAAAGAATAAAAAAAAGAAATTTTAAAATATTAAAAAAATACTCTTAGAATAACTCGAACTTCGAATCTTTTAATAAGAAAAAGAAAAAAAATATTCTCTATTTTAATATAGTCTTTAATCTAAATTAAAGATTATATAAAGATAGAGAATTCTTAATATTCGCTATTAAAGTATATAATAAAATAAAAATATTTAATATAAACGCTAACTCGAAGTAAGATAATAACTATTATCTTAATAAATTATAATTAAAATATTAAATAAATCTTAAAACTTTAATTTCTATATATAATATTAACTAAGTATTATTAATATTTTTTTAAAATTTTTTAAATATATTATATATTTATTACTAGATAAATCGATAAGCTAAGAGTTTTCTTAGCGTTTTTTAACTCGAAGTATATATAAAAAGGTTTTATATTCTAAATAACAACTCTATTAGTAAATCTTTTTAAAAAACACGTATTAAAATTCTAAAATTATATAGTTTTTTTTAAATATTTTTTTTATATTTTTTTTTTAAATAAAAGAATTAAGTAATTAAATATTTAATTTTATTTTAGAAATCTTAATAATAAATAGATTAGTTTTAGTTAAATTTTCGAAATTTTTAAATTTATAAATAGTATTAACTAAGTAAATATATTATTTTTTTATAAAATAAAATAAAATAATATATTAATTGCGAGGAATAAGATAATTATATAAAGTTCTTTTAGTATTAACGAGTTAAGAAAACGCCTTTATATATAGACTTTAATATTTTTTTAAAAAATAATTTTAAAATAAAATCTTCTTAGATTTAGTACGCTATATAGCCTTAGCTAAAAGCTATTTAAATTCGAAAAAAATAAGAAAATTTATTAGAAAAAAAAGCGTATTTTATTTAAATATAAGAATTATAATAAAATATATCTTCGCGCTAAGAGCTATTCTAATAAAATACGATCGTATTTTATTATTCTTTAATTAATAGTTTTTTTATTTTAATATCGTTAAATAGCTCTTAATTAGAACTATAAATTATTATATTTAAATATTTTTATTTATTATAAATTCGTTATTAACGTTAAGATTTTAAATAGAGATATTAAAATACTCGCTTATTTTTTATATTATCTATAACTTTTCAAATATTAATAGTAAAAATATAAACTTAAATATTATTATTAATTATTTTTTTTATAGATTTCAGCGATATAATAAAAAAAAGATATTTTAAGAATTTAAAAAAGTAATAAGAATATAACTCGAACTCTCGACTTTATTTAAAAAAATATTAAAAAAAATTTCTTACTTATAATATTATTATAGATTAAGATAGCTATATTATAAGTAAGAAATAAAATATTTTATCTATTATATTATATAAAGAAAATAAATTATTTAATATATTAAAAATTTCTTTAATATAAGATAATAAGTATTATTTTAATAGATTATAACTCTAATATTACGCGATTTTTAAAATTTAAATTTTATTAAAAATAGCTAACTAAGTATAACTATTATTTTTTTTAAGTTTCTTAAATATATTTTATATATAGAGCGAAATAAATTTCTAAGTTAAGAATTTCTCTTAGCGCGAAAGATAACTAATATATATATAGAAATTTATTATTTTAAATAATAAATATAGAAGTAAATCTATTTAAAAAATATGCGTTAAAATTCTAAGATTCTTAAGTTTTTTTCTATATTTTTTTCAAATTTTTTATTTTAAATAATAAAAAAAATTAATTAAATATTTAATTTTATTTAAAATATCTTAATTCTAAATATATTAATTCTAGAGCTATTTATAAAATTTTAACTTTTATATATAATATTAATTAAGTAATATTATTATTTTTTTCAATTTTTAAATTATATTAATTATTCGTTATAGAAAATAAAATTATAATATAAAGTTCTCTTAGCGTCGACGAGTTAAGAAAATAACTTTATATATAAACTTTAACATTTTTTAAAAAAATAACTATAAGATTAAATCTCGCGATATAAGGCGCGATATATAGCCCTAGCTTAAGACTATTCGAATCTAAAAAAATTAAGAAATTCTATTAGAAAAAAAAGCGTATTTTATTTAAATATAAAAGTTATAATAAAATACGCCTCCGCGCTTAGAGCTATTCTAATAGAATACGATTATATTTTATTATACTCTATCTAATAGATTTAAAGACGCTAGCGAGTAAATCTAGATAGTTTAATTTAAAAATATAATAACTTTTTATAATTAACGAGTAAATATTTATAAATTAAATTTATAATTTTTTTTTTAATTAGAGTTATCGATTAAGTAGATAAGTAAACTTTAATAAATAATATTTAAATTTCTTATACTTTAATAATTATAGAATTAAATTTAATAATTCTTTTTTTATCTAAAAGCTTATATTTCGTTTTATAATTTAAAAAAAGAAATTTTAAAATTTTAATAGAAAATAAAAAGGTTAATTTAAAATTAAATAATATATATTTAATTAAAGCTATTCGATTATCGAGCGAACTTTAATAAGTAATATTTAAATTTCTTATACTTTAATAATTATAAGACTAAATTTTAAAATTCTTAAAAACTCGAAAAGTATAACTAGCGCTTTAAAATAAAATAAATAATTTTAAAATTTTAATAGAAAATAAAAAAGTAATTCTATATATTAATAATATATATCTATTTTTTTAATAAGAGAGGCGTAGAAGAGCGAGATTTTAATAATTATAAACGCTAATTTATTTATTCGCGATAAATTAGTCGATTTAATTAAAGAGTATAGCGAATTTAAATTAATAATTAATTATATATATAAATTTAAAATTTTTAAGCTTAATTCTATTTTATTCTTTTATATATATTAATAATATATATAAATTTAAGATTTTTAACTTAATTTTATTTTATTATATTATATATATTAATTTAATATAATATTTAATTTATTAATTTCAACTATAACTTTAAAATTCTTAAAAATATATATAAAATAAGTTTTAAACTTTAATCTTTTTTTTCATTAAATAATCTATAAAATTAAGATTAAGATTTTAATATTAATAAACTACGTAATAAATAATTTTAATAAATTTTATTTTATTTTAAATATTATAATTATTATAATTATAAGTTTATAGTTAATACGTTTATTTATATATTTTAAATAAAATTACTTATTATTACTTTATACTTTAAATATTATATTCTTTAAAGAATATCTTCTTATATATAATTATTTTATATTATTTAAAGTATATAAATACTATAAGTAAAGATTTATAAATTAAATTTATAATTTTTCTTTTAATTAAAACTATCGAGTAAATTTAATAAACGATCTTTAATAAATAATATTTAAATTTCTTATCTTTAAAGAATTATAAGATTAAATTTTAAGATTTTTTCTTTCTTAGAAAGTCTAAATTACGATCTATAATTAAAAAAATTATTATTAAATTTTAATAGAAAATAATAAAGTTATTAAAAGATTAAAAGTAGAAAATAAAATTTTAATAATTATAAATATTAATTTATTTACCCGCGATATCTAATTAAAAAAATATAGATTTATTGAATTTATAATTAACTATATATATAAATTTAGAATTTTCTAGCTTAGCTCTATCTTATTTTATTATATATACTAATATCGCCGTAATCGGCTATTGCTTCGGCTATAGGATCTGCGCTTCGCGTGAGCTTCTCTTATGACTCGATCGCTTCGTATAGAGCGCAAGACAGCGCAAGATAGCGCAATCCGCAGTTTTCCAACCCCAGAAGATTCTCAATCGGTGTTCTACACTTCTGTGTCTCATGAGCATCTTCTATGTCTATTCCTCAAGCTCTGCAGCCATGTACCCTAGCTCGATGATGCTGTACTTGAATGTGTTGGGACTCATTACATGCTCTGGGGGTACCACATATGCCAAACCTTTGCAAGGTACAGGAGGGCAGTTGCTCACCCGCTCAACTAATGGTCCTGAGACCAACTCGTACAGTCTCATGTCATTGGCCAACATTTCTTCCCTGTCTCCGAATGTCTCAGGTCAAAGTAATTTCGATATTCAGTGCGAGAGGTACAAGTACGGTTTTGTCGACGATGAAATACTCCGTGACTGTGAAACCGCCCTGCCTTACATGACAGGCTCATACGACATCACATTTGTTGATAACCGTGATATGAAAGGCAACGTTCTTGGTCTCCCATACAGACAGTATGGTAGTAAGTGTTGTTTGTAGTTGACTTACGGCTGCAAAGCTACCCTAGCTGAGACACAAAATAGGACAGGCAAATTGCTATTATGAAACGGTTCTCATGGAGGGTAAAGCAACTGCACATGCGACGATGGATCAAGCCCGCAATGCCGCGATTCATCTCTTGGCACAGTGCGGAAAACAATTTCAAGGTGGCGTTGCTAGCAATATCGGTAAGTCCCAAGCAGGCAATAAGTCCTTCGTGGCTGCCTGGATCTCAGGAAAATGCCGCTTGAATAGAATCTAACTCGCTAACACTAGGCAGGAGATGGAAACCTTGCGCTGATCCTTGGAAAATACCCTTTGAAGCCACAGTGCCGTGGAGCTATGCCGGCAGACAGTTTGAAACATTGTGGTTTCATCGCATTCCGCATGCCAGCTGAAGACAAAATCCAACTATTCGGCCCAGCTTCTGATCCCCAGACTGAGATGGATCTCCCATGTCAAATGAAATCTAGTAAGATATGATCCGACAAGATACCCCATGGCCAGTATTGATACTAATCATGGAATAGTCTCATGTTCTCTGATGATTTACTCGACCAGCAAAACACCGGTTCGCTCCTCCAATTATGCGATATGGCAAGCTGTTGCTGCTTTGATGTCAGTTTGTGTGAAAGATCTTCAGGGAGGGAGTGTGACGGGCCTTGGTAGTGCAACCAGCATGCTAGAGATACTGTAAGGACCCGAACGCTAATGCCTTACAGGCGAAGATGGCAGTATCTTCATAACACTGAAGCATGTTGCATCTGCACCTGGGATCGAAGTGCCCGAAACTGCTTCGCTGACCATTGTCAGATGAGATTTTATGGGTTCACAACAGGTTCCTATTATACGTGGGGAATTCGTAGCAATGCGTATCAGCAAAATTGAGCTAAGGCAACTCTGGGTTATGATTGTCAACTTTTGACTGTTTATGTTCTCTTCTTGCAGTCAGCAACTTTGACACATCCGAATGTATATCGAATTTCAGGACTGCCAATTTATTGGTTTCCGGAAGACACATCATAACGCCACTACTTCCACGACCTACCATCACTAGCAGAGATTCCCTGAGTCTTTGCATGGAGATCTGAGGAATTACAGCGACTGTAGCTCAGTGAGTCTAGTGTAGAGCTCACGTGGTCTTCAGCTAGTCTACCTTAGTCTTGGTCCAGCCTACAGCGCCGGACTTCGGTATATTCCAAACACTCCGCAGTTACAGGATTTGCAAAGTCATCTGCACACCCTATACTCATGAAGACTAGAAGTACACAAGTCAGTTACCGCAGATGTTCTACGATCCCGCGCTCGGAGAAATTTAATTTGAGTACGTCGAGTTGAGGATAGACTTGAAAATTTGAAAATCCATACCTGAATCGTATTGTTAACCCACTTGAGCCATTTATTAACTCGTCATCTTTGTGTTTCATCGCAGGATAGCAGAAAAACGCTCATCGTATCGCCGACTTTCTCAAACGTTGCACATCTCAGATTAGCCCTTATCGCGCAATGCCCATACCCAGAGCCAAATCAAGTTCGACCAGTCGACTTTGGCTCGGTGGGCTATGCAGTACGCCGATACTATCCAACGTGAGTTGTTGGAGATGCCTCACCTCACCCCTCTATACAGTATTGATCATCATGTTCAAGCATGTCAACTCCGACGGTATGGACACCTCCACCTATTGAAGACGCCGTCATTCCAGACTAGCAGACCCCTCAATGCTGCTGTGTCCAACACAACCCGATACACATATATACCTTCCACAATAGTATCACCGACACAACTACCGAGATACCAGGGGGTAATGATGTGCTACAGACGATATCAGTCATCAATGTCAAGCACAGGTAAACTTGCCCCGCAGTAAGCCTAAGGAAATCATGGCCTCCGCATTCCGACGCCCCACTTTTGAGTCCCATTGTTCACTGTAGCCAGAAGGACTCCGTCGATGGTCTTTAGGATGATACCAAGAGTGGTGCCCGCAACGCTGGCTTTTATGCTGGTTTACTAGGTAGATATTGCATTTACCGTCGAGTATGGCGACGACAATAGGCTGGACGTATGGGCTGCACCACGAGACTGAAGGCGAAGCCAAACTTGCTAAAATACTTACGTGAGCGAGACCAAGGATTTAAAGGATAAAGACTATGATGAGAAGGAAGAGGGCGACGATCGCGATGTAGAAAGGTTTACTAGTAGACAGGGATCTTCGGAACAGTCGGAGACGCTATGTTTCTGGAGCAGCGACCTCAACTTCAATAAATTCGTGATTGAGACTATTCAGTTCGTTAGCTCTATCGCCATTCTCGAGTGGGTCAGCACAAGAAAGCAGGGTCCTGCAGAGTGAGAGGCTGAATTCTTCGACGAAAAGACAGAGCACCTGCGCTATATTGCCAGGTTCAATGACCAGAAGCAGTGGAGTCCACATCAGCATCGCTTGAGTTTCAAATCCTATTGAAACAAAAGCTTACATAGTGATTGTGATTTCAAAAAGGGTGGCCACTAGTCACCAGACCTGCACGGTCTGCCAGCGTACGACGCGCATGACAGCCACGGGTATGCGGACAAGAAGAACGAGGAGGGTGTACATTCACGGAAGGAAGGCGCCTCCAGCGTCGGCTAATGGTTGGACAGGGTGTTCAATGGCTTGCGACCAGGTCGTGTTGAAAGATGGCTGACTGTAGCATTAAGGTCGAGAGGGCATATGTCGACGAGAGAAGCATTGTTCACATCTGGTGACGGTTGGTGAATTAAGAACGAGACTAGGTGGAATTGTGACTTCCGATCGTTTGCTAGATGGCAAAGTGCCCAGGCAGTCGAAGATGCTAAAGATGAACAACCAGACGAGCGAAGAATAAGTGTGAGCATTGGTAAACTGAACTCATATGGCGGACTATCACGGAGTCTGGTACACAAACGAAAGACCCTGCTCTCAGCTTCTCCGTGGTAAGTAACCCTTCGCAGCCTCAAAACGTGATGGTAATGGAATTTTGCCACAGAACAAGGCGAGAAGAGCAGCTTGACAACATACGAGACGATTGATACCCTAGGGTCTGTGCGCCTGAGAAGCTGCCAGATAGCCAGTAGAGGTCGAAAGTATCTGAGGTTGCATGCAGCCGATGAGCCAGTCAACCGTACAGCCAAAAAATTACTGCGCAACGTCAGCAACTGATGATCAACGGCGTATGTTGTGATTAGAAAGCTTTGGGTGACGACAAATCGTTGAAGACTCAAGGCAAATCTACCGGCCAAAAAACTGCGTCCGGTTGAGCTGCAAGAAGCCCCATGCGGATGCTGCAGCTCGCGGAGCTAAGTTACGGACCAATTACCACACAGATGCGGCTACTGACCACTGGCGCTGAGCCAACACTCAAATGCAGCCGGATGAATAGGCTCGCATGTATGCATGCTGCGAAGTTCGGGCCTCGAAAACACCTCAAGCACGCTACATGGGCCTGTACTTCGATGTACTAGGTGGCTGCATTCCGCTTTACCATGTGGGGACATCTATTTTTGCCTTGTCATATCTTCCCGCTTCGCGTGATCGCCTCACTCGTAGGAGGCCGTAGGCACTCTCGCTGGCATCCTAGCATCTTCAGGGATTTTGATCTCTGTTTGTAGCGCAATTACCAGCTCTTCTAGCGACCAGGCAGACCTACACGTACTAGGTCCGAGAACCCTACAAGTAAACTAGCGTGAAGCCTTGCGGCGAGCAGGAAAGGAAGCCCCACAGCACGTAGGGAGTAGCCCCCTCGTTTGACCTGTACGACCGTAACGCGAAATAGGTTCCTCTTGTCAGATGCCCGAATCAGAGAGACAACGAAAAGGGGGTGTTGGAAAGCAGATAATCAACTTGCTTTATTTCAAGCCATGAGCGAAGGATCCGGAGAGCAACGGAAAGCGCATTCTCGTGATCGGCATTTGATCTACAACTACCAATGAAACCGAAGAGAAGCCAAACCTGAATTTTTCCAAGCAGTCTCGTGTAGTATAAATACCTGAGAGCATATCCGCCTACATATTGCTGCAGGACAGATACGAACAAGCTAGACCCAACAGAGATTAGCCTAGAGACTTCGACAGAAACTGAGGCATTAATTCTCCGATACATGACATCATTCTTACACAATCAAAACACAACATAAGATACCTCCCAAGTCACTCAGTGGCCCAACCCTAAAGCATCCACCCATCCCTTCACCATGCCTTCATCCTCCTCCGCCAACAACGAAACCGACAAACTATCCGCAGAAACGCTATACAGTGACCGTGCATCGAACTATGACACCTCAAACGGAGGCTGGCACGTGAAACTTGGGCAAGACTTCGTACGGTGGTCAGCGCCTGCGCCGGGCTCCGCAGTTCTCGACCTCGCATGTGGTACGGGACTCGTGGCGTTACCAATGGCGGCAGCCGTTGGGCGCGACGGCGTCGTCGTGGGTGTCGACGTCACTACGGCAATGTTGAATCTTGCGCGCGAGAAGAAGATACCAGAAGGAGCGGCACGGGTGGAATGGGTCGAAGCCAACATTACCGAGGAACTTGGTGAGGTTGATGCTGTCCGGCATGTAGTTGCGGAAAGGGGTGGTTTTGATGTTATTTCGTGCTGCTCGGCGTTTGTGTTGCTCGATGATCCGACGAGCGTGATAAGGAGGTGGGCGGGAATGTTGAGGGAGAGTGGGAGGCTGATTGTTGATGTTCCGACTGAGGATCTTACGATGCAGTACCTATTTATGTCAGTGCTAAGTACGAAGCTTGGAATGGCAGCGCCTTATGATCGGGAGTGGGTCCAGAGCATGCATAGTCTAGAGAGGATGTATGAGGACGCGGGCTTGGTGGTCGAGAAGTCGTGGAGGACCAAGAGTTACATTCCCGAGACGTGGTATGAGGACAAGGAAAGCGTCAGGGATGATGTATTCGATAAGCAGACGAGAGAGCTGTATGTGAGATTTGCGCAGGAGGGCAGGCAGGAGGATGCGAGGATTGCGTGGAGGGATGTATGGAAGTTGGGAGTAGAGGGTGGGAATGGGAAGGTGTATGAGGGCTACCCGGTTTACGTGAGTATTGGGAGGAAACCTTGAGGCTATTGACCGGCGGGCTGGTCATGTTGTAGAGCTGCAAGTTCTCCTTTCCACTCTTTCCTACTCAACATGGTTCAGCCAATTCGCTTCAAGAATCACCCTCTTGTGAACTAGGGCAAGGACTTGAGATCTCGCCTCGCCCGCTTTTTTGGCTTTATACTGCTCTGCTGAAGGCCTGGCTCCTCCAATACGTCAGCGATCTTGACATAGATCTATAGGTTTGAGGTTTACTCCACGTAGCCACTTTTGATTTTATCTCCTCTTTGCTTGAACTTCTTTCCGACGAAGGTAGGTGCGAGACAGTAAGAGTTACATGATGAAAGAGGAAAAGGGCCCCTCGACGCTCGGTGTGGCACCCTTAATACTTTGTGGGCGACCTACCACTGGGGAGTGCAAACCGAGTCCTGGCTATATGGAGTAATCACATTCTGGTAAGTAAAGTAGCGGTAGTCTGAGTAGAGCACGATCATACATTGGTTACTCTTGTACGGTAAGGTGCCTAGGCACTTCAACCTCACTTGCATAGAAGGATACTCAGTCGGAGTCAAGATCGGTATCGTCGGAATTGGAGCAGAGCTGCACCACAACTCCGACATAGATGTGAAGGGGCTCGAATCGGGCTGAGAGGGCAGAATTCGGTCCCTTACGTTGATGCAAGGGTGAGAGAGGCTAGTGGTTATGCAGAGATGAGTAGCAAAACGTCTGGCGCGGAGCTAAGAGCACGGGCTGTGCCGAAAGTTGGCAGAAAGGGGGAGCTTAGAGTTGCGAAGGCCAGTGGAGGCGGAAGGACGAAGGAGAGGAGGACGGGTATGGGTCGAAAGCAAGCAACAGAGAGGTATGTGAATGCATGCTGAAAACAGCCTATTCACCATGCAGACAGGTAAAGGATCGGATACCGTCACGAAAAAGTGTCATTTAGGAGAAGATGAGCATCTATGAGCACCAAGGAAGATATATACGCTTCAGGATCCTCTACTCGTCCTCGGTTGGGTCCGACTTGAAGTCGTAACCGGACCCCCAGCCAGCCTCCAGGGCGTCATCAAACGCATTCCCTGTTACCAACAACCACTCCCCACTTGACTCCCCGCTTGGTTTCCCCCTGTCAATTCCGCGCCGCTCGGCCCTTTTACCCTTGAGGTCCTTCTTCTTCACCAATGTCTTCACTTCGCGCTCTTGCAAGATGTCGACATCGATAGTTCTGAGGGCGAAAAATCTATAAACGTGCACGGTCTTTTGCTGACCGTATCGCTTCGCTCGTCCAATGCACTGTGTCATTGAAGCGTTGTACGACTGTTGCGTTTTAGTGAGGAGGGGAGACGCGAAGATGATGTGATTTGCGTTGGTGAGGTTGCTGTAGAGTATCATATTAGCAGGGTTAGCGGCAGAGATGAGTGGTATGACTCACATTCCGGACGCGGTTTCATTTGAGGGGTTGAGGAGCAGAACTTTCTTCTTATTCTTCCCCTGGTTATCTTGGAAATCGTTCATCATGTCGACGATCTGATGGCCGGCTTTCTGACTCAACGCATAGCAAGAAATGTTAGCCTCCTCCAATCCTGAGGCCATTTTAAGCATCACATCCTCGAATTGAACAAACAGTAGGACTTGTTCGTCCTTTGGTAAACTGTTGATCAATTCGATGATGTGACCCAGCCTTGAGCCGCGTGTCCAGGTCTCCCCATCGCCAACAAGGTCCACGCCCTTTCTCAGGCGATATGGATCGGATCCCTCACAACAGCCATCGACAGCGCATATAGCGAGGTGCGTCGTCTGGATACAGTCTTGGCAGGTGGAGTGACCGCAGCGAATGTTGATGCTGATACTGTCATGATCAAGTACGATTTTGCCGCAAGCTCTGCATGTAGGTGGCTTGCTGAGATCAGTATACCACTGTGAGAGCTCCTCTGCGCCGCGGGCGAAGCGGAGGGACCTCGTCCTGGAGGTCAATTCTGCTACCAGACTCCTTAGATGACCCGTGAGGCCTCGAAGCACGCTAGCATACTTCTTGAAGTCGTCTTTGCGAATCTTGTTTGGCTTGGGATCTGCGGGATTGGGAGCCATGTTGGGATCCATGTCACCTGCTTGGATGGATTCGCTATCGCCGACAACCATTTCTGCGGAGTCTTCATCTGGATCTTCATCTGGACAAGCGGTAGCTTTGGACATTCTTGATGCCTTTCGGCTCTGGTTGCCTTCGCTGGCTTTCTTGAGTCTTCTGTCGGCTGTTCGCTTGTCTTTTGCCTGCTTTTTTAGCTCGTCTGCGGCTTTCTTCTCCCTTTTCAGGTCTTCAGCGGTTGGGGGATCGCGGTAGTATATCTCTTCGGTGTTGGCATCGACCTTTTCGAGAGCTGCGATGAGGTAGTAGCGAAGGTCAGAAGTGGCTGTAGGGTCTCTGAGACCAATAAGCTCTATTTCTGACTTCCATTGACGGTAATGCGAGCCTTGGTACTCCGGTGCTGTTGCGCGCCCACATTGCTGCTCCAGCCATGCGGCGTGTAACAGGTTGTACTCCAACTCCGCAACCAGTGCTCTCATCTGTTTCTCACGGATACTGATCATTGTTTCGCAGGCCCCGAACAGTTCTGTTGTAGGAAATGAGAATTTCTCGTATTCTTCATCAAGAAAGTCATCTTCATCCTCAACATCCTCAACGTCGACGTCCATTGCATCCCCGGATAGCTGGCTCTCCGCAGATCGTGTGTCCACCAATTCGAAGTATGAGCAGGCCCTCAAAAGGCATTCTGACGCTGTCTGGCAGTCTTGGAGTAGATCTTGGTATCGCCGAAGTCTATCATTGTCATTCTTGCTCTTACCACGTAGGACAATCTTCATTTCTGTGGATTGTAGTTGTTGCTGAAGCTCAGCATTAACTATGGTCTCAGCTGCTCCAAGGCAATGTGGGCGAAGATCCGTCATGCATCTGATGAGTCCGATCTCGGCGACGTTCTAGGATTGTAAGCGCGAGTGTGGATAGGTCTTGAGCATAAAGAAGGCCTACCTTACTAGCGAACTTGTCGAGGAATTTCTGCGCGTGGGCTTGCCTACTTATGTGCCATGCAGCGGTATGTGAATAGCCATATGCCCGGAATTGCTCGGCGGCTGCGGGTCGTTAGTAGTCTGAATGAAGGCAGGACAAAGCAACCTACCAGTTCTATCGTCCCTGATATGCCGTATTGCGGCCCCTTTGAGGACCCCTGCGGCATCATCCACAACCCCAAGGTTGTATGCTAAGAAGCTGGCAAGGTTACGCACATCTCCAAAGTCCTGAATGCTGGGAGTCCCAGAGAGCACCCATCTAGAACGCGCGTTGATGGTGGCAATGAATTTAGAGAGCTTCCCGGCCTGCTGACTTTTGTCGACGTACGTGTATTCGTCAACAACAATTCGATGGAAATCGAACATGTGCAACAAGATACCAGTCATAGAATTCAGGTCAGTGCAACCCTCTCTCGTCATGTGCTTGAAGAATTTCTCCAGATCTTGCTCCTTGGGGGAAGGGTCCTTTGGTGTTACGCATTCCGCTGGATTCCAAGTGGTATATTTGGCGCCTTTAAGCCGCTGTGTAGGGACATCGCGGATTATATCCTTGTCAGTATGGGCTGCTTTTAATCTTAGCTTCAGGACTGCGGCAAAGTCTACGGGACTGTGTTGCTCGCTGACGAGTTCGCCCATATGCTTTTTGATGTTACCACATGCTCGGGTGAGCCAGACATCAGTTTCACGCTCTCCGCTGGACGGACCTTCTGGCAGCGCCGCAAAATGCGACATCCGGGTCATATATGCTGGACTACTTAAGACTCTCCAGGAAGTGAGGACAATGGTAGCTTGTTTGATCCGCTGGACCGAAATTCTTGCTAGGTCAGTCAGGTCCTCAATGACCAGGATCTTGTCGTCGTTTGAACTTATCCCCAGGAACTTGTGGGCTTGCCCTTTCCACTGGTGGACTAGGTGGGGTGGTACTAGGATCAAGGTCGCTTTGACAGAGATGCAACCGGCGTTTTTGTTACTTGCGTACTCTTTCGCACTCTCTTCTTGTGCGTGAATCAGTGCAAGAGTCGTTGCGGTCTTGCCGTACCCAACCTCGTCGGCCAGAATGCCTCCTCGAACAGTCCGGACACGTCTTACACGTGCTTCTGCCCTCCAGCTTAGCTGTGACAAGGTTGCTTCTTCAATTTCTTCTTCGTAGAAGACCATCTCATCGGCCTCTTGGCCAATCATCCACTGAAGAGACCGCTTCTGTTCAGGCCGAAGCTGTTCGCCAGTTGGAAAGTCATACTCAGCCTGGGAAGCAAGCTCGTTGTTCGGCAGAGTGAGTTCTTTGAGCTTGTAACGGGTTGGCGCTTCAAATCCGGTGTCAAGACGCCAATCCATCTCGATGTCGTCGCTGTCTGCAATGTTGCCAAGTCTAGCCAAAGCCCGGTGGACCAAGGTTGGTAGGTTTAAGCCCACCAAGAGACGACCTGTACGCTTTTCATCGTCATCGATGTAGGTTTGCACCAAAAAGGGAGCTGGTCGAGCTTTGATTTTTCGCTCGAAATTGCCAGCCTCTCGCCCATCTTCGTAAGGTATGATCTTGTCTTCATTGGCACTTCTTGAGCACGTCCACATTATTCTTGGGGGCTCCGGAGCACAGGTGAGACATTTTCGATAGCCACTTGGACAGGGACCAAGGGACCTCCAGCCTCCTTCGAAATCTCCAAGGTCTTTCACTCGTGCGAATAGCCATGCAAATGCCGCAGCAATCTCGCGCCCAGAGTTTTGATCTATGGTCGTCCAGTGTCCTACCCGCCAGCCAACGCTGTCAACCACTTGTCCCGGTATCTCGCAAGATAACAACGCAGTCGTCGCAGTTTCATGCAAGCAACCATATACATCGTCAGCAGACGATTGTGATAGATGCTGATCTGTACCAAAGACCGGAATCGAGATTTCGCTGTTGGGGAACCTCGAGGACGCTTCTTCCAACTCTTTGTGAGGTCGCAGAAAGATCGGGCAAGGACTCCATCGGCTGGAGACGGTGCATTCTGCTTGTGTGGAGACGGCACAGTCTGTTCGTGGATCAGAGCCCTTGCAAGGTGGTCGCCATTCACTCTCGACCTTGGCTGTAATGTAACGACTTTCACCGTATTCTAGCCGCTGAATCTCAGTAGAAAAGACAAAGCTATCATGATTAGGTAGTCCCATTCGATCCGCATCGAGGAAAAGAAAGAGGGGGGGTGCGTCGTGACCATCCGTGGTCGATCTCTTCTTGTGAAGGCTGCTGCAAGCTGTTCCGCAATTGTCCAAAAGATCGTAATCTCCGCAAATATCATGATCCAAAGCTAGTTCTGCTGCAGGAACTGACGTGCGAGCAACGTGCAAGGATGTGTATACTTGTTTGTCAATGAACTTTTCACCCTGCAGGCCGAGCTTCTTCTCCCAGGAGTCTGTCAGTTCTCCTTGAGGGGTAACAGTGATTGGAAAGGTATGAGCTATTGGTAAGCAAATTTCCCAAGTGCCTTTGAGCATGCTTTCTGCCTTCGTGGATTCACCTCGCATAGTCGTACCACGAACTGTCAGTCGTGCAAGGGGATGATCGAGCAGTGTTCTCACACGACTGTTCCCGGTCTCTGTTTGACCTGGTTTGCCGTACAACAGCCAATACACTTCTTCCTGGTCGAAGACAAGTTCCAGTCGGGAATGCGTAGCATTGTAGGTAATTGTCCAGCAGTGCGAGCGCCTGGCAGATTCGTAGCGGTATTCCTGCTCGGACGCGAGTAGGATGGCCTCGCTGAACAGTCTCCAGTCTTGCTTTGAGCCGTCCGGGAAAAGCTGTGCGAATACTTCTAATGTCTCGGAGGAGAAACCGTCAATCTCAAGCCTGGTTGGTATAGCGTACCTCAATCGCCTTCGAAATTCTTGAGGTTCCGTACGCACAGGTGCTCCATTTCCCCCAAGAA